TGAGTTGGCCATCATTAATGATGGCCAACTCATTATCCAATAGGAGGGGGACACCTCACATGTCCCCCCTATTGGTCCCGTATTTTAGGTCTCTGTAGCAAAGCTCAATATATTTCTGGTTTGTTCTATAGGTTGGAGTTTAAAGAGGTTTTGCATATATACCCCTCAAATTCTAAGTATTTTATTTGAAAAAGTGTTCCGAAACACCTCTTGATGCATGAATTAGACTATTTTAATGGATTATCCATTCCATTCATCATGGTTTAAATATCTCAAAATATATTTTAAATAAAAATCGTGATATTTCAATACTTCTAACATATTTTTAATTACTTTTAAATTGTATTGTCGTAGAATCGTTAATATTGTAATCACTTGATGCATGTAGTTTTGAAGGTATTTTCTTGGATTGAATCTAAGACGTCACATTAGGAATACTTTTCTCATTTTTACTATCTCCCAAATCTTGATTATTGCAACTCACACTGAGTTTTTCTACGTGCCCACTTAAACAATTTTAGTTTCCAAACAGGAAATTGTTACAAACATGCTGAAAATTATAAATTTTTTTGACATTTCCTATTAGAGACCAACATAGTTAATTTGAGGGGTAGATAGACCTCATAAGAGAGAACTGAAGGATAATTTTACAAATATAAAGATTTAGAGGGTAAATTTGCAAATATAAAATATGTGAGGGGTGTATATGCAAGATAACCTTCATTGCCAAATGTTTAAGATTTGAAGATTCGCCGTGCATATCTACAAATAGGATAGATGCTAAGGTATATATAGGCGAAAGACATTTAATTATTTTAGGGGGGGTGTTTGGTTCAATTTCTAGAAATTATAGGAAATGCTTTCCACTTAAAATATGATTTCCTTGTATTTCTTAAAAAAATATAGGAAAAGTTTTGAGAAATTAAAAAGTACCAATTTTCTTGTTTTTTGTACTTTGTTTGTTTGGTTCAAAACAAGAAAATGACTCATAACTTTATAGAAAATAACAAGATTTGGTAGGTTTTTAATTAAATATGGTATGTGTTAGATTTCTGGTGATTTCCTCTCATGTTGAGAGGAAATTGTTTTTTGTAAAATTTGATAGGTTTTGATATTTTATAGAAAACATTTCTGTAAATTTTTTGTTGAACCAAACACAATTTACAGAAATCTCTGGAAAACTTTTAATTACAAATTTACCATTGTCAGATGTTTTGAGAAAAGTTTTCTCAAAAAGTGTGCAACCAAACAGCCCCTAGATTTCGGTATTTACAAAGCTATACCAAATTATCAGTTTAAGAAAAGAATTTAAAAATCAAAATTTTAGACACCGAACTGAACAAAGTTGGTAACTAGGGGTTTTGGGGTTTATGTTTTCCAAAGTTGAGATTTGAGGGTGATTCTGCAAATACACATAATTTAACGAGTATATATACAAATAGCCATAGTTAATTTTTTATTCTTTTTGACGTGCAGCGGGACCCAGATATGTGGTTCACAGCGGATGAACGCAAAATTATTTGTCAAATTTCCGCTGTTCTTTTCCCACTAATAAATAGGAGGACCCCACCCCCAAAACCAAAAAAAAAAAAAAAAAAACCTTTAAACACCCCCAAAACCAAAAAAAAAAAAAAAAAAAACCTTTAAACATGGATCTTGATTCTTGAAGCTGATGTGTTTCGTTGCTCTTAATCCTCTATGAAATACGTCATGACTCATGTCACACGTTTTTTTAGTGTTGTGTATTATTTTTGACAAAGTGAAACATGATTCAACATGACCGTTTGCTAATTGTATTATACTTTTATTATTATGATTTTCCATTCGACCTTACAATTTGCAGGCGAATTATCTTATTCTGTTAATAATTCTAAAACAAGTGAAAATATTTCAAATTTTCAATCATTCAGTTGTAGTTGATCCTACAAGAATGCTATAGTGGAGAGACCATTACTTTTAATCTCAAGCATTGATTATTTAGTAGGCGGTTATGATACAATCTAAATCTAACACTTACCATACCCCAGTGTATTGCACTCATTCCTAATTTGCATTAAAAGAAAAAATCATAACCATCAACTAGATAATCAATGGCTGTGATTATGTAGTGGTCCCTCCACTATTTTTTTTTTTTTGTAGTGGAGAGGATCCGAATCCTATCAAAAATTAATACAATAAGGGGGGTTAGTCACCTAGAATTTTTTAAGCGTATTTTTAAAGGTTATTCGGCCATATACCCCTCGAATCTTCCATAATTGCGTATTTATCCCTAATCTTCATATTGTTGTATTACCCCTCAATATCTTCCATAATTGAATATCTACCCCTAGATTGTCATAAATGCCACTAGTAAAAATGCTAAGTGTGCTACAATAGACGCATGTATGTGGGTCCATAGAAACTCATAATTTCTCTTTGTAATTTATAAGAAAAGTTTCTACATTTTTGTATATAGCAGTATAAAAGTACCATAACTCATGTGTACTTTTTATCATCTCTTTTGCCAATATATCCCCCAAAATTTCAATTTTGAGCTATTATACCCTCAAAATGCAACAAATTTGCTAAATTAATGGTGTGTGAGCCAGTTAGCCAAAATAGTCCTCTCTTTCCTAAATGCTGCAACCCCTTTATCTTTCTCTTTTTGGCAATTGCGAAGATTTAGAGTGGGTTTGGGGTTGGGGGGGGTGTTAAATATGCGATTGTGGAAGATTTGAGGAGTTTATGAAAATTTGGAGGATAAATATAAAATTATAAAAGATTTGGGTGGCATATTGACAATTATGAAGATTTAAGGGGTAAATGTGCTATTATGAAAGATTTGATGGGGTATATAACCAAATAGCCCATTTTTAAACACATGCTAATATGCTATCAACAACAATATCAAGAAAGCATCTGTGCCAATTTTTTGGAGTCGAATATACGAATTCTTGTATTATATTCAGTCCTCTTACGAGTCATCTTTTCTTTGTCAAGCTAACTATCATTACATTTCTTAATTTTTTTTCCAACCAAGTTCTTCATATCTACTTCTAATCCTCTTATTTTCTTAACTATAATCTAATCATTTATTCTACTTGATACATTTACTTGACCCTTTGATCAAATTATCTCAATCGATTCGTTCATACTTTATCATCAACAATAGGAGCAACCTCTAATCTTCTAGAAAACCACCACACTCATCCTAGGCGGCTAGCATATTATTCCCTTAGAAAATGAAAGATGGGCTGTGACATCGGTGTATGTCCAAGCATTTTGTTCATGAAGGAGGATATGAGAGAGATTTGCGGTGATAATGCGGTCATTGGTGCTGTCGCATTCAAATTCTTAAAGAGGACCTATGGAAAAGTAGCGGCCGAATAGAATTTAATCAGAGTGAAGAATCCAAATATATAATGTTTGATGAAACAAATAAACAGTGGAGACAAAGTTTCCATGTACTAAAAATGGCGTTCTTGTTTTTGATATTTGTCTTTTAGATGAATCAAATAAGATAGTCCATACATCCGACTCATTTGACTATCTTATATTCATATTCATTTAACCTATGGAAATACACATGCACGTACAAATACATACACGAAAGCAATAAATTCTCCAACAATAATAATTTCAATAGTCACGAAACTTTATAACATTTAAGGGTTAATTAAGAATACATCCCTGTACTATTGCTCAATTGAACATGAACCCTTTGTAGTTCTGTTCGTTGTAGATAGACCCTTAAGTCAAATTTCTTTGTCCCTTTTGAGAAAATTGTTTTTTTTTTCACAAATAGCCATCATGGAGGTAAAAGAGTCACAAAATTCACCAATGTATCTATATGGGAAATATTGCAAAATATACCGTTTTTGCTAATTATTTAGCAAAATAGACCGTTTTGTTAAATAATTAGCAAAATAGACCTCTTTTTGGCCAACAGGCCAAAAAGAGGTCTATTTTGTAAAACAGCTCAGAAAACATACGGGACTAGTAGTCCCGTATGTTTTAATCACGGATTAGTAAAATTTTCTACTCAGAAAACATACGGGACTACTAGTCCCGTATGTTTTCTGAGTCACTAATCCGTGATTAGTTGGCTCTAAACATACGGGACTAGTAGTCCCGTATGTTTTCTGAGCATGTTTTTCAAAATCGACCTCTTTTTTTCAAAAGAGATCTATTTTGCTAATTATTTTTCAAAGTGGTCTATTTCGCTATATATTTCATAAAAATGGTCTATTTTGCAAATTTTCCCTATCTATATTTAACAATAGAACTACAGGAGTTCAATATGTAATTAGGTGATACTAAGGGGGGTTTATCCATAAGTAACCCAAATTTTTAATATAATGTAAAAAAAAAGTTAAGTGGCTGCTTGGTTCGCAGCCACCTGAGAAAATAGTCACCTATTTTTTATCTGTTTGGTTGGAATAAAAAAATGGGGAAAGAGGGTCTAGATGATAATAGTGCAACGGTCCCGTTGTTTCGAGAAGAAATAGGCTAAAAATAATAAAACAGTAAACCCTACGCGTGATGTTTTCAAATTTTTTCTTAAAACCACCAAAAAAAAAATGGTTACCATGTAATGAACCAAACATGCCCTGAGACGAAGAGAGACGCGGCTAGAATGTCTAAAAAGAACAATATCAAACTTGACTTTCCCTCGTCTTGCTCTTCCACGCTTCCACTGTTCTGTTCATCTCCTCCTCTGCTTCCTTCACCAACGAATCCAAATCCAAGCTCAAGTTATTACAATCCAAACTCAAATCCAAGCTCAAGTCATAATTATAATCCAAACCCCCACCAACTCCCCTCATCTCTGCTCTCCAGCGCTTCGCTTCCAACATCCTAAGGAACTCATCCTCAACCTCCTCAGCATCGAACTGCTCAACGCTGTTCATCTCCCTCTCCAGACATGGCCTCTCCTCTTCTGGGTCTTCAAACTCTTCCCCGTCGATGTTCCTCAGGTCGTCAGAGGGAGGATGTCGATGCCTGAGATGAAATGTTTCCTTCTCGGTTGTTATGAAGCTTTCACTTTCTTCTTCTTCGCTGTCTTGTGGATGATCAAGTTTTCTGCTGGTTGAGTTCTTGATTGTTATGAATCCTGGTCGGGATCGGGATGAAGAAGTCCTTCGGATTCTGAGCATTTTCAACTTGGGGAGGCATGAGAAGCACTTGATCTTCTTACTTGCTTCTGTAAATTTTTGTAGACCGAATAAGACTGTCAGGAGGATTGAATTGTGGGAAAATTGGCAGTTTCTTAGAAAAATACCATAAACATTTTCGTTAGAGAAAATTGTGAAGAACTTCTGAAACCGAAGAAAAACGTACGTCTAAAATATCCTTAATTATATCTATCAGCCGACACGATTCATGAAGGTAGAACAGAAGATATAAAAACCGCATAAGAGTAAGACTGTCCAAAATATGACTAAGTGCGAAATGCGTGACAATTTATCCTAATTGCCGTCAGTCGTAGTTTGGGAAAAAAGCCCATGCTAGTTTACCATAGTAAGGAAGCTGGCCGTTTGGCACAAAGCATCTCAATATGGTAGTTTTTGTAAAATTTACCCAGAAAAAGAAATAGAGTTCGAGTACATGCTTACCATTATTCTCAGAGTCATCTTTACCAGCTTCTTCTTCTTCTTCTAACATCGTAGAATACACGCTCAAACTCAAAACCCCTCCATTGCCAATCCCCTCAAGATCGAAGCTCACCAACTTCCCTCCATTTTCAACATTCAAATCCTCAGCCAACATAGCCTCACTCAAGTCAATCTTAAACCTACACACATCGCAGTCCAATGAAACCGACACGATGACCCCCTTCAGCACCGAACAGAGATCCTCAATTCTACTGCAGTGGTAAAACAAGACCTCATCAAAGGATGCAGAGCCTTCACAAACCTCAGCTGGGGATGTTTTCTCTTCTTTATTAGACCCTTTAAATTTCCATCCTACAGTGATTAGTTGGCCATTGGTCATTAGAGGTAGGCCGCGGATCCGGTGGACATGGAGGCACACGGCCCACTGCGATCTCTGTCGATGCTTCCAGAAGCAGAGTCGGCCTTTTGTCGGCTCCGGCGAGCTCTTGGGGGTTTCTAGAAGCCTGGCAATGTGAAGGTTGTTGTTCATTGTTGGCTTATAACTGACAAGGGATGGTTAATTAAGAGAGAAGGATGGAGGTTTATAGGAGTAGTGATGATTTGTCAAGAGAGAAAAGAGGGGACAGAGAGTTGGAAAGTTAAAAAGTTTTCTAAGTGTTTGCAATGTTTAAATAAAGAGTGACATGAGTGAAGTTGCAGGTTCCTAGCTTTTAGGCTGTGTTTTCGTAAAAGGAAATAAGAAAGAACTTTTAGGCTGTTGTTTGATCATGGAGATAAAAAGGAAGAAAACCCTTCAAAATAGTAAACATTTTTATGTACATTCAAGATGTAATGCAGATAGCTACTAAGAGAAATTACTCAAAGGTTAGAAAAAAAAAAGAAACCTATGGAGGGTCAAGCATTTCACTAATTCAATCAATGTGTTGTTGGGCGACGGAGTTAAAATATTTTACCTGAGGGGAAAATATTGGTCATGAAAGAATCATCAAGGGCAGTGTAGCATCAAGATTTCATCTTCATACAACAAAACTGTACATGCTCATATCAAAACCATGTGCAAATCGCCACGCTGCAAATTCTCGTTGCATTTATTCAAACTGGTTTAGATTTCGCTATTGAAATATGATCTCAATTGTAATATGAGTTTTCATTGCAAACTGGTTTAGAAGGGTACTATAACTGGCACTTCACCATGAATATTAGTTGAAAGTTGAAGGAATACCCTCCAATTCAAATAAGTGCTAGCTCGAGGACTAATTTCGAACAACTTCTATGATTTGGACACCTAATTGCAATTTCAATGATTTGGGAAAACTAATCTCAAATTATAAAAGGTTTGAGGGACTAATTATCGAAATACAAAAGGACTGAAATATATCCTTCCTAATTTTTTTCCAGCCCCTTTGGATATTATACCAATTTAATAATCACAGGACTCCTACATTATACAAGGGAGTACCAGCCATTGTCTTCAAACCTGCATCCTATAAACCAAACAAGATATTGTTGTGCGCAGCGGAACCGTAATTAACACAAACGAGATCAAAACAAGTACCACAGCAGGCAAGACACCAAATTTACGTGGTTCGGCAATGTGCCTACGTCCACGGGGCAAGGAGGGGATAGATCCCACTAATAGAGAGAGGGAGTACAAATAGAGATTACAATCACTCAATAATCTCACAAACAACAAATCACTCTTGATTTTTCCTCAACTCTCAATCTCTCTCACAAAATTGCCCAAACTCTAATTGCTCACTTAATCACTCTTCCTAACTGATCTTAGCTCTGATGGATTTCTCAAGCTCTGATAGATCTCCTAAGCTCAGATAGATTGAACGAAGGAAGAGGGGAGGGGATTTATAGGCTTCATCCCCTTCGACCACCCCTCTTGTCAACAATTTCGGCCACCTCATTTATCAACAACTGCGGCTCCAGCGACTCCTTTGTCAACAAGTGTGTCTGCACCCATTTTCAACAAGTGTGGCAGCCCCCATTGTTGACCAACAATCTCCACCTCGGCGAGGTTTCTTCCAAAATTGAGCCGACACCAACCAAACCAAAATGTCTCACTTGTTGCGTCCAGTACGAAGTAAAACAAAATCACAACAACGGACTCAATCCACAACAAGTCGAGACCCAAATGAGAATGTGACCACTCTCCAAACGTCGGTATCAACTCACCAAACTGGCTGCATCATAAAATGACTGCCTACGTATCCTCTTGCCCAAGGAATCAAGCCTCACGTAGTTCACCAAATGACCTCCAAAGGCCCTTAACAACGAAGAATGTTCAATAACTCCAAACAATGACCAAATTTTACTCATGTAACAACTTTGGTCAATATATCTGCCGGATTGTCCTTCATGTGGATCTTCTCCAATCTAACATCTCCATCATCCAAGACGTCTCGAACAAAGTGAAATCTGACATCAATGTGCTTTGTTCGTGCATGATATACCTGGTTCTTTGCTAAATAGATAGCTGACATGCTATCACAATTTACCCTGATGATATCTTGTGCAATCCCCAAGTCTTCCAATAATCTCTGCAACCACAAAGCCTCCTTCACAGCTTCAGTCAATGTCATATACTCTGCCTCCGTAGTGGAGAGAGCCACTGTAGACTGAAGTGTACACCTCCAACACACCGGTGCTCCTGCTAATGTAAACACATATCCTGTAGTAGACCGGCGTTTGTCAAGATCCCCAGCATAATCAGAATCCACGTATCCAACACAATCCTGCCCAATCTTTTTGGCCTCCCAATGACCTTTCCCGGGGTCATGCATGTACCTAGACACCATGCTGACGGCCTGTGACAAATCTGGCCTTGTACACACCATTGCATACATCAAGCTACCCACAGCATTGGCATATGGAACTTTGGACATATAGTCACGATCCTCAACTGAAATAGGTGATATCTTAGCTTAAAGTTTAAAGTGAGGAGCTAATGGAGTACTCACCGCCTTAGCATTACTATCAAAGCTGAATTTCTTCAGCATCTTCTGTAAGTAGCTCCTCTGAGTTAGCTTCAACCTCCCTTTCACTCTGTCTCGCTCAATCTCCATACCCAATATCTTCTTTGCTTCTCCAAGATCCTTCATCTCAAATTCAGATGACAACTCCTTTTTCAACTTTCTAATAGCTGAAGTATTCCTGGAAGCAATGAGCATATCATCAACATATAACAACAAATAAATATACTCACCGTTCTGTAGCTTGTGCATATAAACACACGGGTCATATGGGCTACTCGTGTACCCTTGGCCAATCATAAAACTGTCGAATCTCTTGTACCATTATCGCGGTGATTGCTTCAATCCATAAAGAGACTTCTTCAGTTTGCATACCAAATCATCCTTTCCTGTAGCTTTGAATCCCATCGGTTGTGTCATATAGATCTCCTCTTCTAAGTCTCCATGTAGAAAGGTTGTCTTCACATCCATCTGGACCAAATCTAAATCCAGCTGTGCCACCAATGCTAATAGTATCCTTATCGACGAATGCTTCACGACCGGTGAGAATACTTCGTTGTAATCTATGCCCTCAAGCTGGGCATATCCTTTGGCCACCAATCTGGCTTTGTACCGAATGTCTCCATTAGAAGATCCTTCTTTCTTTGCATATACCCATTTGCATCCAATATCCTTCTTACCCTTCGGTAGCTTTGCAAGTTCCCAAGTGTGATTCTTCTGAAGAGAGTGCATCTCCTCCTCCATACCTTCCCTCCACCTGATTGAATCAGAGCTTGACTCTGCTTCCTTATATGTAGAAGGAACCAAATCATCAACGACCTCTACTGATAAAGCATATGCAATCATCACATCATCATATCTAGCTGGCCGACGAATGATTCTTCTTGGTCTATTAGCTGCAATGGACTCCTGAACATGATCCTGTTCCTGAGTCCCAACCTCCACTGTATCCTCCATCTGCCCATTTGTCATCACGTCTCCTCCTAGTGTCATCTCTGTAGGAGCCTTAATGGATACAATGTCATCTGAAGTGTGTGGGGTCACATCATCCTCCACCTCCTGCGATATCCCGCTAGTCTGGCCTTCCTGCACCTGCTGAGGGACTTGAGGCTTCATCATGTGCGCCTCATCAAAAGTGACATCTCTGCTAATGATCATCTGAGGGACTTGAGGCTTCATCATGTGCGCCTCATCAAAAGTGACATCTCTGCTAATGATCATCTTCTTGTCTTGTGGATCCCACAACTTGAAGCCTTTGACTCCATCTCTAAAGCCCACAAAGACTGCTTTCCTTGCCCTCGGATTCAATTTCCCATCATTCACATGATAGTAAGTTGGACACCCAAAAATCCGAATTAAATCATAATCACTAGTTACAGAATCAGACCATACCTCCATAGGAGTCTTCCCATGTATCGCAGTGCACGACAATCTATTTACGAGATGGCTCGCATAAACCAACGCCTCGGTCCAAAAAGATCTAGCCAATCCACTCTGTGAGAGCATACAACGCACCTTCTCCAGCAAGGTACGGTTCAATCTCTCAGCCACCCCGTTTTGTTGCGGTGTCTCCTTAACTGTGAAGTGTCGTCTAATACCGTGATCCCGGCAAAACTGTAGAAATGTATAACTTTTGTACTCACCACCATTATCTGAACGGAGTACCTTCACCTTTCTACCTGTCTGTAGTTCTACTTTCTTCTTCCACTCCACAAATATACCCAGAACCTCATATTTATGCTTCATAGGGTATACCCAATTCCTTCTGGAATAATCATCAATGAAAGTGATAAAGTAATTGGCCCCACCAAGAGATGTGTTCTTGGAAGGACCCCAAACATCAGTATGAACATAATCTAATATACCTTGGGTGTTGTGAATTGCAGTGCCGAACTTCACCTTCGTCTTCTTCCCAAGTATGCAGTGTTCACACAGCTCCATCTTGCAGGTCTTTGCACCCTTCAGCAGTCCCTGTTTTGCCAATGACTGCAGGGACTTATCACCAGTGTGTCCTAATCTCATATGCCATAAGCTGGTAGTATCCTCCTCTGTGATAATTGAAGCTGCCAGACCCCTTGTTAATGTCTTGCCCTTCAAGTAGTAAAGGTAGTTTTCCCTAACACCTCTCATCACCACCATGGACCCCTTTGTGACCTTCAGAGTTGCATTCTCCAAGATCACCCTATAATCTGCTGCCTCTAAAGTTCCAAGAGAAATGATGTTCTTCGTCAACTGAGGAACAAACCTCACTTCCTTCAGCTCCCTAGTCACCCCGTCACACATCCTGATCCGAACTGTTCCAATACCACCAATAGGACATACATGATCATTACCCATGAGCACGACATCCTCTCTTTCTAACTCCTTAAAGCTAGAGAACCAATCCTTTCTAGGGCAAATGTGGTATGTAGCACCCGAATCCATCATCCACTCCGTAGAGTCGGCATAACACACTGACGGTAATGCAGAGCATGAGTAGCCCGAAGAATCCGAATCTGAATTGTCACCACTAGCTTTGGCAACATTCACCTCTGAAGTTTGTACAACTT